TTTTTTTTAAAAATTAAAGTGCAGAATGGGCAAAGGTATTTGTAATGTTGGCAAAATAATTAATATTTTATATATAAACTTAATCCTTAGATAAACACTAAAATGCTAGTGAGCAGATAGGCACAGTTCACAAGAGAAAATATTACCTCATTCCATTGATCAGTTTTAGTGTTATTAAAGGTGGGGTATCCAGACATTTGTGTATGTCCTGATAGGATACAGTATAGAGTATATAGTATCATTAGTTAAGTATTCACTCTCCCAATTTAAGCATGTATGTAATGCAAATAATTTTCATCTAGAAGAAATTCAGGCAGTGGAACAAGTTAAATGACACCAACAGAAGCAAATAAATAAAGCTAGAGTGTGGAATGTTCTGCGGGAGAGCTGACCCCTCAACTGCAGCATTAGTAAATGGCATGGGAAAAATACTGAGAACAATGTAATCTAATTGCTCTAGATTAAAAAAGATTTAAGAGACATAACCAAATGCAATGTGTTGACCTTCTTTGAATCCCAATTCAAACAAACCAACCATAAGTGGACATTTTTTAAACATTCAAGGAAATTTGATTATAGAACAAATGAAGATGGTGCCAGTGAATTATTGTTAATTTTATTAGGCATGGTAGTAGCACTATTGTTGTATAACCAACTGTTAGAATTTTTTTAGAGTAGGGGCAAAATGACATGATAGCTGGGATTTGCTTTAAAATACAGTAAAACCTTGGGGCACCTGGGTGGCTCAGTCGGTTAAGTGTCCGACTTCGGCTCAGGTCATGATCTCATGGTCTGTGAATTCGAGCCCCACGTCGGGCTCTGTGCTGACAGCTCACAGCCTGGAGCCTGCTTCAGATTCTGTGTCTCCCTCTCTCTCTGACCCTCCCCCATTCATACTCTGTCTCTCTCTGTCTCAAAAATAAATAAACATTAAAAAAAATTTTTTTTTAAATAAAATAAAATACAGTAAAACCTTGAATGTAACTTGTATTGTGACTGTTCCTCAAAGTGAGCAAACATTTCTAACAAATTTTAACTTGATAAATGAGTGATGTCTCGCAATATGCCAAATGTCACATGATCACAACTGACCCGATGGTTCTTGAAATTCACTTTGATATACGAGTGCTTTGGTTTACAAGCATGTTTCTAGAACGAACTGTGCTCACAAACCAAAGTTTTACTGTAGTGCAACAAAGTGGCACCTGCCTGGCTTAGTTGGTGGAGCATGTGACTCTTGATCTTGGGGTTACAAGTTCAAGCCCAACATTGGGTGTAGAGATTACTTAAAAATAAAATCTGGGGTGCTTGGGTGGGTCAATTAAGCCTCTGACTCTTGATTTCAGCTCAGGTCACGATCTCACGGTTAGTTACATCGAGCCCTGCATCTGGCTCCATGCTGAGCGTGGAGCCTGCTTAAGATTCTCTCTCTCCCTCTTCCCCTCTCTCCCGCTTATGCATGCTCTTTCTCTTTCTCTAAAATAAAAAATAAATAAGCCTTCAGTTTGGGGCACGTGAGTGGCTCAGTCGGTTAAGCATCCGACTTCAGCTCAGGTCATGATTTCACAGTTCGTGGATTCAAGCCCCACGTTGGGCTCTGTGCTGTCAGCTCAGAGCCTGGAGCTTGCTTTGGATTGTGTCTCACTCTTTCCTCTCTCTGCCCCTCCCCCGCTTGTATTCGCTTGCTCTCTCTCAAAAATAAATAAACTAAAAAATAAATCTTCAGTGTAAAAAAACGAAAAGGAAAAAATACTGTAACAAAGAAAAGATAGATGAAAATGTGGCAAAATCTTGAAAATTTTTTAAGTCTGGGGTGATTCTACTTCTAAGTATAATGACATTTTTGAGAGTAAAAATTTTTTAAGAGGGTAAAATGGTTAAATTGAGATTATGAATACAAATTGAAGTGAGACCAACCATTGCTGCAGAAGTTTGGTGAACAGTATATTTACACTGGTGGTTGGAGTATAACCCTCTTAGAAAAAAACATTTTGGCATTATTAAGGAGAAAGACTTTGATCAAAAAATACTTATTGCAGTATTAATTATAGTAACAAATCTAGAAATAACCCTAAGTGTACATAACAGTAGGCAGGTGATAAATTTTGGATGATAGAGTATTGTCATTATAAAAGTAATTTTTAGGGATGCAAGGGTGGCTCAATCGGTTGAGTGTCCAACTTCATCTCAGGTTATGATCTCACAGTCCATGGGTTCGGTTCAATCCTTGCGTTGGGCTCTATGCTGACAGCTCAGAGCCTGGAACCTGCTACACATTCTGTGTCTCCCTCTATCTCTGCCCCTCCTCTGCTCACACTCTGTCTCTCTCTCTTTTTCTCTCTCAAAAATAAATAAACATAAAAAACTTAAAAGTAATTTTTAATAAGGAATTGATTGGAACATTGGGAAATGCTTGTTTCATTAAATGAAAAGAATAGAATACAGTTATGGACACACACATACATAATATAAAATTGGTTTCATATACAATAGTAGCATCCATAGTGGGAAAAAAGACTTAAAGGTAGAATACTGAAATTGGTAGACTGTAAATCTCCATTTGGTGAAAATCAGTCAAGTTTTTCTTTATATTTTCCCATAATTATTTCGTGTTATGTATACACATAATATGTGTAGTATAATGTGTATATATTATATATAGTATTTATATTATAGTGATTATAATATATAACATATATACTATATACTACTATAATATTACTGTATGAATACTATATATACTATTATATGTAAAAAAAAAAAAAAATATATATATATATAAATGTATATGAGAGGAAGATTACCAGCATAAAAAACAAGAAATGAGAATAGAGTGCCTTGGTTCATAAATCCGTAGAAAATATCTGTAGAAGTTTAATACAATTTTCTCTTTCCTATACATGCTGTTATTTGGTTAAAAAGTCTTTTGTGATACATGATGTTACAGATTTATAGAGTCTCCTGCTTGAAAGGAGCCATAAAACCAGTATCACTCAGTTTTTTATCTTCAGTCTCCATATGGGTTGGTGGATTCACCTGGGAAGAGATTAAGTTCCCATTTTGTATTCTTGTTTTGTTTTGTTTTGTTTCTTTTGCATTGTTTTTCTTCTACAGTTTCAGGTAAGACATGATTTTAATTTTTGCTTCCTAGTAATCAAATACTTCTACTTTAACAATATTCCTCCTTAAAGTATGATGACCAGCTGATGCAGAACTCCCATCTGTAAAGCAAACAGAGAAGTGATAACCCTCCCCTCCCTCATTCTAGATATGTTTTCTTACAGTATTAGGGGATAGCCTTCTGAAAAACTTGTTACAGTACATGATTGATTCATGATTATTTCCAACTGTACCTTTAAGAAAAAGCACACTTTATAGCATTGCCAAACACTGTACTCTCATTCTGTACTAGTATAGTTGGTTTGGGGGCCAGATGCTTCTATATTAGATTTCATTTTATTAAATTCACCTGCTCTTTTGGAATGCCAGTTGCATCAGTGAGCATGTGGACCAGCCCTCATAACTTCGTATCCGTCAGAAGGCTTAGCGCACTGTCCATAACCTCATAAACGTCATTGATAAAGTGTTAAATAAGAATGTTTATGATCTTAATGTGTCAACTGTGCTTCAATTTTTAAAAAAAAATTTTTTTTTTCAACGTTTATTTATTTTTGGGACAGAGAGAGACAGAGCATGAACGGAGGGGAGGGAGAGGGGAGACACAGAATGGGAAACAGGGCTCAGGCTCCGGAGCCTCCAGCCCAGAGCTGCGGATGCGGGCTCTCAACCACGACGCCAGATGTACCTGGCTTAGAAGAGCGGATAAGAACCGATCATACGCATAGAGGCGCCCTTGCTCTTCAATTTTTAAAAATTTAAATAAAAATGAAAAATTTTTAAGAGTAAAGATTTTTTTTAAATATGAAATTTATTGTCAAGATTGATGTTGTCCAACCACACACCCAGTGCTCATGCAACAGGGTGCCTCCTCAGTACCCATATCACCCACCCTCCTCTCCTCCCCACCCCTCAACCCTCAGTTTGTTTTCAGTTTTTAAGAGTCTCTTATGGTTTGGCAAAAGAGTGAAGATTTTAGCTTACTAGACACTGTAGGGAAAAAAAATTATTTATTTATTTATTTATTTATTTTTATTTGAGAGCATGCAAGCGAGGGGGGGTGGGGAGCGAGGGAGGGAGGGAGGGAGAGAGGAGAGAGAGAGAAAATATCTTAAATAGGCTCCATGCTCAGTGTGGAGCTGAACGGGGCTTGATCCCACAATCCTGGGATCAACCCGAGCTGGTCAAGAGTCAGACACTCAACTGACTGAGCCACCCAGGCACCCTGAAAAAAAAAATATCTTAAACATCAGAAGACATTTGGAAAATAATTTTGTTTCAGATTTCTAGTTTGAGATATAAATTCACATTTTTATATCTGTGTCACTTTTTCTTCTTAGGGATCCATCTGTCTCTAAGTCTATAGAACGAATCTTCAAAATCTGGGAAGATAGAAATGTGTACCCAGAAGAAATGATAATGGCACTGAGAGAAGCTTTGAGTAAGTGTATTTTCTCTCCTAAAAAAAAAAAAAAAAAAAAAAAAAATCATTGAGTCTTTAAAATTATGTACATTTTATAGATGTAGGCCTGTTGCATAACAATGAAAAATAAAGTTTTGAATTGGGCCCCATTTATTTAAAATTAAATACTTAACAAAAATCTGTTTGAGTTAAAATTTAGAATTGGTTTGGGAAGGGTTGGATTTTGTATTGACTAGAGAAAGTCATGCATATTAAGTGATGATGGCTGATTATTTTCCTACACTTACTTTACATTGAGCATTTTTAACTATTCGTGTTTTAACAATTACTGCCCTGTCCATTTACTGTTGGAGGATTTTTTTTGATGGGGTTTCAGTTTCCAGTAAGCTATTTGATATTAAGCATATATATTAAGCATTCTTTAGTCTCTGTTTTGGTTTAGATTTGCAATAAATTGTGTATTTTTAAGAAGTTATTTACTTCCGATGTATTAGGTGTATTTACTTGAGTCATTAAATGGAAGTTGGTGATATCTGACACCTTGACATTATTTGATTAGAAATTTGCTTTAAAAATAGTATCTTCTAAGAAGCTGTTAAATTCTTCATTTGAATGTGGTAACTAGTATTTTTAAGCTTCCTGCCCTATTCTCAAAAATCAGTGATTTTATTGATGATAGAAATCATGTTTATTTGACAGCTTCTTAGATCTGGTGGGTGTTTTTATTTTTTTTATAAAAATGAAAGGAAAAGAAAGAAAGAAACAACACACAGTCTCGGATTGCCTTTTTTCAATGCTACAACTTTGACACTGAAGTGGACAGACAGAACAGCTTCCCATAATGCCAGATTGCAAAAACTGAAATGTTTTCCAGGTACCACTTTCAAAACTCAGAAGCAGCTGAAAGAAAATCTGAACAAACAACCGAATAAGCAGTGGAAGAAATCACAAAGTAAGGAACAAAATCTCAACTAATATAAAATTACCTCCTCTTTTTGGAGCAGAAGAAAATGTAGACCATTTGACATCGTACCTGGCATAAACCATGGGGAAGCCTGTGTTTTCCAGGCCTGGGAGAGTGACCCAGTGACTTATACTAAACAAGCCATCATGGAGTTACTTCTTTAAAAAAACAAAAACAAAAAAAACCCCTACTTTTAAACAAAGGAAATGCAGAAAAAAGGTTTAAATGAGTGAAGATTCAAGAGTAGTTGGGGGAGTGAAAGAAGAAAAATGCTTGATAGTGCCCAGGCTAACTCTCAGACTGAAAGATCTATGAAGGTAGAGGCAGCTGGCATTAAACAACAGAGCTGAAGAGGAGACTAGGCATTAAGAAGCACTTATGTGGGAGCCATGAAATCCTTCAGATTTGGGGACACTCTACCAGATTAGACATGGGCCTCAAATCCTGGCCAGAAGCCCACTCTCTAACAGGAGCTCCTGCTATGTTTCTCATGTTTACCCAGCATGAGATCAAGGGAGTGGAATACTGCATGTGATAGGCTGCTGTGGGCCAAACTGAGGAATATTGAGAAGGACTTGGTGTGGAGGGAACGAGGTAGAAGACAGTGAGAATTGGGAGGTAAAACAAGACACTTGGGATGGTTTCACTCCAGCAAGTATATGATATTCATCATGATTAAGGGAGTCCTGACATCCTTTTGCTCATAAGTTGCATGCTTAGGAAGAGCAAGAGTCATCATTTCAGCCCAAGTTGAACCACAGTGGTAGTGTGCTTAGAACTCTCCCTGCCTGTTTTTGCTGTGAATTGAGTCAGCAGAAAAATCCAAAGCTTAAATCGTAGGAATAGAGTTGATGTTTGTAAGCAATTTTCTTCAGCCAGTGCTCAGGATTAATTGGATGTCCCGCTCCTGAACACTCTTAATTTGAGGTACTGAGATCCTCTTATACTCAGACTAGGAAACAAGGTACTTCATGTATCTCAGAATCTCCAAATCCATAATTCTAGGACTTTGTGATTTAAAGGGTCTGTTGGAGGTAAGTAGGTTAGATGTATCTAAATAGTATATTTTTAGGGGCGCCTGGGTGGCTGAGTGGGTTGAGTGTCCGACTTCAGCTCAGGTCATGATCTCGCGGTTCATGAGTTCAAGCCCTGCATCGAGCTCACTGCTGTCAACACAGAGCCTGCTTTGGATCCTCTGCCCCACCCCGCCCCTCATCCCCCCCTCCCCTGCTTGTGTTCATTCTCTCAAAAATAAACATTTTTAAATTAAATAAATAAAGAGTACACTTTTATATTGGCCATGCGTGGAAGTGTTGAAATTTCTTATCTGAGGAATATGAATATTCAAGGAATATGAAATATTACAGAAATACTTATTCTAGGAATTATATTATTACTTAAATGTGCATATTTGATATATGTTCATAAATACACCCTTAATTATAGACCTGAAAAACTTCCTCACTATTTGTCAACTTTTTGTGTCTGTATTCTTAATGACCTTTTATTTAATTCAACAGCATCCACGAATCCAAAAGCTGCTCTCAAGTCTAAGATAGTTGCCGAATTTCGAGTAAGTTAAAGAATGCATTTAACATGCCAAAGCTTTATTCACCCGTTTTGTTATAGTTCCCTATATAGTCCAGTAAAATTTATTTTTATTCAATTGTACACCAGTTATATTTTAAACAAGTTTGAACTGTTCTGAAGCAATCTAGATTGGGATTATATTACATAGAGTTTTATATGTTGCCTTAATGGAAAAATTAACCTTCTTCCAGAATATCTATGACCAGCCAGGTTCTATTACCAGCCGAGGCCCCTGACAAGGGGTTCATCCTTTGGTGAAGTGCTACTAAATTAGAACTTGCTTAGAGTTAATATAACACTATGTGTATCTCATTAAATTTTAAGGAAGATATAAATGGACCTTTGTCTTAGCCTTAACTTCGTATGCATCAATTAGCTTTGAATAATCAAGGATAGGATCTTTTAAAGTATATAACTAAAAATACAGTTTTGGTATGAAAATTGGTATTAATATCTCTGATTATGAGGAAGTGCAAAGAGCCTCTTTCCTCTTGGTTTTGTTAGGTTTTAGACATGTTTTATGTTAATGGGAATAGATAGAGTAAATGAATGATTTCATAAATGAATATGACTCTGGTCTGTGTTTAGTCCCAGGCCCTCATTGAAGAGCTGTTACTGTACAAGCGCTCAGAGGATCAGATAGAGTTGAAGGAAAAACAGCTGTCGACTATGAGGGTGGATGTGTGCAGCACAGAAACTCTCAAGTGTTTAAAAGGTAATACTTACATCTTTTTAAATAGAATACCTCAGATTTTGTTCCCAGGTCTGTAATTTTTCAATGATTAGACTGGCTTCTCCCCTAAAGAGAACCTTAGATTTTGGAGACCAGTTGTGGCACTTCTGGTTTTCCAGGTAGTGATTTCATGCATATGAATTTCATAAGTAAAGTCCTGTCTTTCACATTGCATACCTTACACTTACCCAGTGTTATATTTTAATTGTATCTCAATAAAGCAGGGGAAAAAAGAAATCTAAAAAAAATCATAAAACAATTCTTTCCCTTTCCTTACTTCTAGTGCTTTCTTGCTGTGTTAGGTTATATATAGACAAATATATTTCACATGTGTGATAATGTGGCTTGGGTATGTTCTTTATTTTTTATTTTTTAAAGTTTATCTATTGCAGAGAGCGAGCATGAGCTGGGGAGAGGGACAGAGGGAAGGAGGGAGAGAATCTTCTTAATTTTTCTTTTTTAACGTTTATTCATTTTTCGATAGAGACATAGCATGAGTGGGGGAAGGGCAGAGAGAGAGGAAGACACAGAATCCGAAGCAGGCTCCAGGCTCTGAACGGACCTCACAGAGTCTGACGAGGGGCTTGAACTCACGGACTGTTAGATCATGACCTGAGCTGAAGTCGAACACTTAACCGACTGAGCCACCCAGGCACCCCAGGGAGGGAGAGAATTTTGAGCAGGCTTCACATTCAGCACAGAGCCCGACACGGGATTTGATACTACAACCTTGGGATCATGACCTGAGCCAAACTCAAGAGTCAGATGCTCAGTTGACTGAGCCACCCAGGTACCCCTGGGTATGTTCTTTAGTAAGGTCAGTGTAGTGCCCCATAACATCTAGTTAGTTGGTCTCTTTTCCTTGGGTTGTAAATTATAAATAATAAATTAATAATGTACTAGAGGATTGCGTGGGTGTCTCAGTCAGTTAAGTGTCTGAATTTGGTTCAGGTCATGATCTCATGGTTCGTGAGTTCAAACCCCCACATCAGGCTCTGAGCTGACAGCACGGAGCCTGCTTGGGATTTTCTCTTTCTCCCTCTCTCTCTGCCCCTTCCCAACTCACACTTTCTCTCTCTCTCAAAATAAACAAACTTAAAAAAAAAAGTTAGAATGTAAATCTCGTGAAGGTAGAAATTATCCTTATTTGTTCATGCAGTATCCTAGTACCTAGAGTAATGCCTGCTACATAATAGGCATTTGATAAATATTTTTGAAATCATGAGTAAGTGGCTGCCAGCTATTCATTTTGGCACCTGTTTTGTTCTTGAACCATACTTTAAAAACTTTTTTTTTTTTTTTAACATTTATTTAGTTTTGAGAGACAGAGCACAAGTGGGGGAGGGGCGGAGGGAGAGGGAGACACAGAATCCGAAGCAGGCTCCAGGCTCTGAGCTGTCAGCACAGAGCCTGACAGGGGGCTTGAACTCACTAACTAACCATGAGATTGTGATGTGAGCTGAAGGTGGACGCTTAACTGACTGAGCCACACAGGCACCCCTTTGCACCATACTTTAAATCTAACAGTCGTTACCTAATTTAATACTCACAACAACCCAGAAGCATACTAAAAACTTCCATTTTGTACACGAGAAATCTGAGGCTTCAGGTTATAACTGAACACTGATTATAACTTGCACAAGTTATACAGCTGATAAAAAGTAAAGTCAAAATTTGTACCCACATCTGAAGCCATGTTCTGGTAGTCACTGGGAAAGATGGGGATAGTTAGGAGAGTAAGTAACATTTTGTACTATCACTATTATTGAAAAGACAATTCGTGATTTGTACTCTGCTGATAACAAATTATCAGGGATCTTCAGGTAGGAAGGAAGAATTTTTACTGTGATATATCTTCAGTCTTCATCTTTACTTTTCTGAACCTCCATTTTCTCACATTCCATAGTGAATCTAAGTGAAGAACAGAATCGAGCCTCATCCTGATACTCCTAATTAGCAGCTCAGCATCCAATTTTTGAAGAAAAACAGTCAACACACTTCCTTTTAGCTGAACTTTCTTTTTTTCACCTTAATTACAGGAGCCTTCATGATACACTCTTGGCTGCACTCTAGCAGGTTCACATGAATTGTTTTAATAATATGTTTTGTGGGTTTGGTGATTTGGAGAAGCTCCTTTAAGGTGAAACTGAGACTAAGAATATTGCATACTAACACAGCAAGAAGAGGTTCACAAGTTATGTAAAGAGGGGTTTTCTTCAAAAGATTAAATTTTTTTACGTTTTCTGTTTTATCCTGTAATGAATACTTCCTCTGTTATTTTAGATAAGACAGGGGGAAAGAAGTTCTCCAAAGAATTTGAAGAGGCAAGTTCCAAGCTCGAGGAATTTGTGAATGGTCTAGATAAGCAGGTGAAAAATGGGCCCTCACTAACAGAAGCACTGGAAAATGCTGGAATTTTCTATGAAGCACAGTACAAAGAAGTAAAAGTGGTGGCCAATGTAAGTAATAATTAAAGCTAACATGTATCAATTGCTTACTATAAATCAGCGACTGTTAACTATAAGGGTTCTCTAACTCCAGGGGTAAACATTATTTCCTCCAGTTCATGAATGAAGAAGTTACTTTTAAAGAAGAAGAGTGACCCTTGTACAAAGTGATAGAGCCAGCAAGTGGAAGTGTCTAAATTAAGACCTGGTTCTTTCTGACACTAAAGTTCACAGATACCCTGACCGTTGAGCTTTGCTATGAAGCCTTATGTTTTAGCATTTCAAAGGGCATGTGCCAAGCTACTGTTTCAGGATATAGAATTGGGCAGAAGTATATACACTTTCTTGTTTCACCACAAAACTGGATGGAGACATTCTGTTACTAGTGACCTCTGAAAGAACCTATCTGTTTTAGACTTATTTTTTTTAAATCGTTTTAATTGATATATATGGTTATAAAAGCATACAGTAGAGTAGATCCCACCAGTCCCACTTACTAGAAGCAATCCCTTTTATCTCATTAGCTAATATTCTTTGACATTTACCTTCATATTTCTGAATAATATGCCTATATTGTTCTTTCTTGAGTTATCCTATTTAAGAAATATCTGTTAACTTCTTGGTATGACAAATGAGGCTTTCACTTATATGCCCCTTCCTCCTTCTCCCAACATTATAGAACCCTTATATTTAATTTTTTATTTTTTATTTATTTTCATTTTTTAATTTACATCCCAGTTAGCATAGAGTACAATAATGATTTCAGGAGTAGATTCCAGTGATTCATCCCCTATGTGTAACACCCAGTGCTCATCCCAACAAATATCTTCCTTAATGCCCCTTACCCATTTAGCCCATCCACCCATCCACAACCCCTCCAGCAACCCTGTTTGTTCTCCATATTTATGAGTCTCTTATGTTTTGTCCCCCTCCCTTGTTGATATAATTTTTGCTTCCCTTCCCTTATGTTCATCTGTTTTGAATCTTAAATTCCACATACGAGTGAAGTCATATGATATTTGTCTTTCTCTGACTGATTTCGCTTAGCATCATATCCTCTAGTTCCATCCTTGTAGTTGGCAATGGCAAGATTTCATTCTTTGTGATTGCCGAGTATGGGGCGCCTGGATGGCTCAGTCGGTTGAGTGTCCGACTTCGGCTCAGGTCATGATCTCACAGCTCGTGAGTTCGAGCCCCTCGTCAGGCTCTGAGCTGTCAGCACAGAGCCTGGAGCCTGCTTCAGATTCTGTGTCTCCCTCTTTCTCTGCCCCTAACCCACTCGCTTCCGTCTCTGTCTCTCTCAAAAATAAATACACATTTTAAAAAGAATTTTTTTTAGAAAGATTTCATTCTTTATGATTGCCGAGTTAATACTCCATTGTATATATATACCACATCTTCTTTATCCATTCATCCATTGATGGACATTTGGGCTCTTTCCACACTTGGGCTATTGTCCATAGCGCTGCTGTAAACATTGGGGTGCATGTGCCCCTTCAAAACAGCACACCTGTATCTCTTGGATAAATACCTAGTAGTGCAATTGCTGGGTCATAGGGTAGTTCTGTTTTTAATTTTTTGAGAAACCTCCATACTGTTTTCCAGAGTGGCTGCACCAGTTTGCATTCCCAGCAGCAGTGCAAAAGAGATCCTCTTTCTCTGCATCCTCGCCAAATTCTGTTGTTGCCTGAGTGGTTGATTTTAGTATAGAACTCTTTTAAATCTGTTGATTACCTTCATAAATGGTAGTACTATATTTAATGTTTTTGACCACTAACTCTAGAGTCTCCACTTTGAAAATGCGGTAATTATTCCCTCTCCTTTCCCATTAGTTTTCATCCTTGCCTTCAGTTTTCCAACTTCGGTAAACTTTAGTTTTACACTGTCAACATTGGTAATATTTACATTTCACTCTGTAATCATAATTGTTACTTCCTTGCTCTAAGGGCTGAAAATTAATACAAACAAAGCTTAACAGTACAACTGTGTAAACATTGTTCACCGTTAAGGTCTTGTGGTAGCTATGGTTATATTAGAGATTTTTAATTTTTTCCTAGGATTTTTTTTTTGCATTGTTTGCCTTCTCATAGCCTTTTTTTCTGTCTTTCTCTAAATTCTCTATCTCATCAAATATTCTCAATTCACATTTTCCTCCAGAAACTTCCCTACCTGAACTTCTGTTCTCCTGCTCCAGTTTTAAGTGGCTAGATGTCATGCTAGGACTACTCTCTAACTGATACTCTTACATTTTAGCAGTTTATATTATAGATTTATAATATATAGATTATATATTTAGCACTTTATTTTACAGATTCCATGTCTTTTTTTTTTTTTTAATGTTTATTTTTGAGAGAGTGAGAGTGCGAGCAGGGGAGGGACAGAGACAGAGGGAGACACAGAATCTGAAGCAGGCTCCAGGCTCCCAGCTGTCAGCACAGAGCCTGACGCAGGGCTTGAACTCACGAACTGTGAGATCATGAACTGTGAGATCATCACCTGAGCCGAAGTCAGGCCAACTAAGCCACCCAAGTGTCCCTCCATATCTTTCTTTTTGGTTTTCTGTCCTGTTTTGGTGGAGCACACTCTCAGTTCATTTCCCTAAAAGGAGGCTTGTGAGAGATAAATTTTTCTGAGTCCTTAGATCTCAAAATGCCTTTATTCTGTTTTCACATTATTAGTTTGGGTGGTATTCATACCCTTTGTAGGGGACTATTTTTTCCTGTCTGGAAGCTTTCAGGGACTCTATCCATAGTGTCCTGAAACATTTACAATGATTTATATATATATGAGGTTTTGTTTTTCATTCATTATGGGTTGTTTGAAGGGTTCTCTTAGTCTAAAGATGGGTGTTCTTCATTTGTGGGATAATTTCTTTCTCTTGTATGTTCTCATGTTTTCTCAACCTTGATCTTTTTGTTCTGCTTTCTGGAAGATCTTAAGGTGTTTCCTCTCTAGCTATCTTGGCCTTTCTCTTTTATGATCTTAGCTTTTATCAAAAATCAGATAATATCTCTGTCCACTTATATTTAAGAATGAGGTATTAAAGGGGCTCCTGGGTGGCTCAGTTGGTTAAGCATCCGACCCTTGGTTTCAGCTCAGGTCATGATCTCACAGTTCATGAGATGGAGCCCCTCATTGGGCTTTATGCTGACAGTGCAAAGCCTGCTTGAGATCTTCTTTCTCCTTTCTACCCCTCCCCAGCTCATGCTCTCTCTCTCTTCTCAAAATAAGTAAGTGAACTTAAAAAAAATGAGGTATGAAAAAATTGAGAGGCTTTCTCTATATAGATAGGGATTATTTACTCATGGGTTTAACTAGTAAAGTCTGAAGGTGAAGAGTTGACTGTTACTTGGGGCAAGAGTTGCCCTAAGTGTCAGAAGGTTGGAATTTTTTTTGCCAGGAATTGTCATTCTTTAGAGAGGTCACAGTTTTTGCCCAAGGCCTAGTGCCTTGGCTACTGACTATGGAGATTGCGAGGGAGGTAGTACTGAGGCTCTGGGGGGTCACACTCTTAATTAATTATCCTGATTTCAACCCCACTACTCACTCTACCCTTCTGTACTCATCATTTTCTACATAAAAGCTGCTCGGGGATTCTGCAAGTCAGATCAGCTCCTTTCCCCCTCTGTGTACTCCTGACCTCATTTTTCTCTCCCCCTGAGTCGTCACTTCTTTCTTACTCTTCTATTCTCTTTCTGTCTTCTAAAAATTTGTAGAAATGTTTTCCCAGGTATCTAATTATTGGTTTATACCTTTGTATTAAAAAAAATTTTTTTTAATCTTTATTTATATTTGAGAGAGAGAGACAGAATGTGAGCAGGAGAGGGGCAGAGAG